CACATTTACCTTAATCATCAATCTTTTTCAAAATTATATTATCCTTTTACATTTCCAAAATATTCAAGCTTATCAAGTATTATTATTAATGTTCTTCATTGCTTTCTACTACCTGATTCTTTTTTACTTTTATTTAAGCTTCAATTTTTTTTAATCTCATTAACACTCACTTTTTCAAATAATATAAACCAGTATTTAAAATGTAACCATAAAATCACCCTTATCTCCTAAAATATATTAATATCTAGTATATTTTTTTAGCACTATTTCATGGTGCCATCTTTTTTCACTCTTTTTCTCGTCTGCTTTTTTGTTTCTCAACATTCTCAGTATCGTCTTTTTCCATTTTCTCATTTGCTTCAAATATTAAATTCTCCTTTCCAACATACCTTAAAATAAATATTATGTCAATTTTCAAAAGTCTTACAATCTATTCCTACAACATTCCTGGCCTACTTTCAAAAATAACTATTCTTAGGAAACTCCTTGATCATTATGATATTAACATTATTTTAACACAATAATCTCTCATCATCAATAATATAAAAAAATTTAGGAGGTTTTACAATATTAAACTCTAATCTCTTCACTATCCACAATGGTGTTGCATTCATCATCAAAGACTCATTTCTGAAATTTATTTCAAACTTCACTCCATTCAATGATAGAATTGCTAGTATTACATTAAATTCTAAAGGTAAAAAAATTTACCTCATTAATATCTATGCACCAGCTAAACCTTCAGAATATCCTACCTTCATTTCCTCCCTGACTAGTTACCTTAAACAAATTAACCCCAATCACTTCATAATCATTGGAGGAGATTTTAATATAAAATGGGCAATGAAAACATTGATAGTATAGTAGGTCATGCAGCTTTAAATCAAACTACTAATAATAACGGCAAAATAATAATTGAAATATGTAATAAATTCAACTTTAAAATTTACCTTTTTCAAACAAAAACAATATTTATTTCACCTTCTTTAAATACAACTCACCATATAAAAGTCAACTTGATTTCTTAATCACCAGTAGGAAAATGTCCTCATTTATCCGTAATTTCTCCATCTTAAATGATTTCGACCTTCTCTCAGATCACCGTCCTATCTTCCTGAACCTATTCATCAAACCTTACCTATTGAAAAATCTTAACAAATCTAGGATCAATATACCTTCCCCCTCAATTAAGAAATCTTACAATGTAAATAATTTAACTATCCCTACATTAGCCACCAAATTCCACAATGATTTAAAATCAATTCCCACTGACATCTCATGGCAATATATTCATAATGCTATTATTAAATCGGCCAACTCCCACCTAAACATCAGGACAATTTATCCAGATTGGATTAGTCCTCACACCACCCAACTAATACTATCTCTACCTGCCAAAAATAGATGAAAATTAAAAAAGAATGCTTCCATCAAATTCAAATTGAATCAAATCAAAAAATCTATTAAAAAAGATAAACGTAATTATATTTCATCTAATCTCAATCTCATTTCCGATTTTAAACGTTCCAACAATCTTTATGATGTCTTTAAAACTCTTAAATTTGTTACTTCTTCTAATGATAAAAAATATCATATCTTAAAAATTGGCAAGCTTACAATCAAAAACCCAAAAGATCAATTAAACATTTTTACAGACCATTATCGATCCCTATTGTATTTAACAACAAATTCCCTTCTCCCAAAATAATTTCCTCATCCCAAATTCTATCACACACCCCCTTTTCCTCTTAACAAGAATGAATTTATTACAATAATAAAAAATTTAAAAAATCACAAAGCAACTTCTGACAATACCCATAACTAACTCTTAAAAATTTTCCCTGAAACGATTACTAATCTTCTTTTTCCTACCTTAAATAAAATATGGAATTCAGTTACTTTTCCCCCCAAATGGTGTAATTCTACTATCCTCCCAAAAATTCTTAACCCCTCCTCCATCCATGATTATAGAGGAATTACCTTAACCTCCCCTTTTTACAAAATCCTCACTACATTCATCCTCAATCACATCATCAAAACCATTGAAGTCAACACTCACAACTCTATAGCTTCATTTAGAAAGGGTCGCAATACAGTAGAACTGATTACGTCTTTAAAGATTAGACTTGAGAAAGCTCACCTTCTCAAAATTGACACCTTCATTTTTATAGACATCTCTAAAGCCTTTGACTCAATCAAACATGAATTTTTATGGCACACTCTCTTTAAATACAAAATCAATCCGCATTTCATCAAAATTATAATGTTTACATATGAAAATAGCTTCGTTAATATTAAACATAATAACCTCGTCTCCCCTTTTTTCAAAACCAAATGTGGGATCAAACAAGGCTGCCTCTTGTCCCTAATTTAATAATCAGCGATTTAATTCATTCCTGCAATTTCTCATAAGTACAGAAGACTACAACTATATTAACCATATTTTAACAACATTATCATCTAATCTTCAACTAATGAATCTAAAAATTAATTTCAAAAAAACTATTTTCTTATCTACTTCGCCCAAATTTCAACAATTATCCTTTAATAATAAAACTTTCATTTTCAATAACTCGTTCAATTATCATGGTATCACAATTAATTCTAAAGGATCAGTTAAACCAGATATTTCGTCTGCTATTACTAAAACTTCAAAAATAATTTTCTCCCTCAACAAATTCTGGCACTCCAATCTCTCTAATAAATTTAAAGTTAAAGTCTTCAAATCTTTTATTATCCCTTCATTAACATATAGAATAGAATCTTGGGATAATTCTAGATCGAATCTACATAAAACTCAAACTTTCATCAATAAATCTCTAAGAAATATCTTAAATATAAGATATCCGATAATTATTTAAATTTCAATCTCCTAAATATATGCAACATTCTCCCCCTCTACAGACTTCTAACCTACAGAAAAATCTAACTCCTATGTCACACTCTTAGACATGACCACTATAGTACCATTTCAGATGCTATCTCTCACAAACCCTCCAATTCAAAAAGCAAGAAACTACCATTTATACCATAATTTCTGGTATGGTCATATTCTTTATATTTTGAAACTTAACAACGTTAGCAACCTATTTCTAATCAATATATCCCAAAATAAACCAGACTTAAAATTCTGGCTAAATCAAGCCATCCTAGATTAATCCCTTCTTTTCCCCTTAATTAATCATAAAACCATTATACACTTCTTATTTCACTAAATATTTTTTATATTCATTATTTTATATTCATTTCAATTGTCAAATATTATAGTAATACATAAAAATTTATAATAAAGAAAAACAATAAAGATAACAAAAAAATAAAACATTATTCGGTCTCATTTTCTTTTTTATCTCTCCTCCTTCTTTTTTCCTCGCTTCTACTTATTAACCCTGACGTGATTTTCTTAAACGGCGGCATTTTCGGCGTAATTAAAAAAGGCTGGCGGCCATCCAATGGCTGGCCAGAGCACAGGTCTAATTATAATACTTTCTTTTGGCTAATTTTAAGAATAATAATTTAGTTTTTAAAAAACTTATACATTTTAAGAAAATAGTAAAAACACAAAAACATCTAAGATTAATTTTGCTTTTAGTGCCATTTTATCTACTTTACTTTAATATTTTTTATATTATAATTGAATTAAGTAAGGAATGCATATATTTATATAATATAAATATTAAAAAAATTTTACAATATTAAATTTAATTTTTTCTTATTATTTATATTTGTCTGGTTGTCATTGGCATCATTCCTCTACTAATTTATTATTTTTATTTTTTTAAATATTAACAACTTCTATTTTTTTATTTGTAATTGTATGTTTAATATATTTACAAGCAGCTTCTAATTTTGTTATTTTTCCATTTACAACATGGCATAAGCATACATATACATAACCAAAATAGAGACAAAGCATTATTGAAAATTCTTTTATTACTTCTTTTGTTATTTTAATTATTTTTGCAAAGAAAATAATTTAATATGGATGAGTTTTAATTTAATCATCAATATGTTTCATTAAATCATCACAACACTGTAATTACTATAAAATAATAATTAAAAATTATTACATTAGGCAATAAAAAAACAAATTTAGTAAAATAAATAAAAAATTAATCACTTTGCAAAAAGTAAAATATTATTTAAATTTTAAATAAGAGTTACAAATTAGTGATCTGCATATGGCCTAATTGTTCAACCCCTGCTTGGCCCAAAATTTTTTTAAAAAATTGTCCTGTCTGGCCCATTTTTAAACAAAATTTTTTTATTTGTCCTGAAAATCCCAACCCAAATTAAAAATTAATTGTCTGCCCAGCAATTTATTTAAATATAGAAAAATTTATTTCTTTTATAGTTAAAAAAAAAATATTCTACAGATAAAGAATATTAACATTGTTACTTACAAGAATTAACAATTTATTTGACAATTAAAGATTTAAGCCTGGCATAGTTTGAAATTTCTAAAAAATATTAGGCATGAACAGAAATTATTTTTAAAAAATAGGGATTGGACTGGGGGATAATAGTTTTTAAATATATTTACTTATAGTTATAAATAAATAAACGAGCAACCTAAAAGTTCTGGCACAGATTCAGCTAGCCCACTCATGTTGCTCATCAAGCTAGCTTTATTCTGTATCATTTTTTCACTCAAAATGGAGATGGCATACTATTTATACATAATTATAATTTTAAAATGTCATAATAAAATAAATAAATTTTGGTTCAGAAGTCAGCTTAAGCCAACTCCTGAGCCTTAGGGTTAAACTGGCTGGCTCAGTTATTTAACAACACTACTAATTATAATAAATTCTTTATTTGATAATCCCATAAAATTATCTAGAGCAGGGAAACCAAAAAATCACTTACTTTTGCTTATCAAAATAAAAAAACTGGCAAAAAAAAAATTATATCTAAATTGTCAATGAAATATCATATGAATTTCTATATTAATGTAAAATTATAATTATAGATTTTTATTATATTTAATTTTTTCATACTTGTGATTTTGTGTCAAAGTTTTCTTGTGTGTTGGTAAATAAAATTCTCTTTAAAGGGGCTAACTTCATATCTTTTTTTAAAACAAATGGCTTAAAAAATAAAACATTTCTTAAAGAGGTGTCTTTAATAATCTTGTTTCCCTATATTTAAATAAAGCAATTATAGATCATAATTAATATATTTTACTTTTGAATCTACTATATTTTTTGCTTTAAAGAAATTTCTAAATGCTTGTTTTTGTTTAATTATCTATAAATAAATACTGTACTATGTTGAACCAATATTAAAAAAAACCTTTTCTTGTTCTTTGCTCATTTTCATTTCTTTTTCTTGCTGCTCCTTTTCTTTTTCCATTCTTTCATCTTCTTTTGCTTTTCTGATCTTTTCCTTTTCCACTCTTTCATTTTCTTTTGCTTTTCTAATCTTTTCCTTCTCGAGTCTTTCCTTCTCTCTTAATTTATTTTGTGAATCTTTAATAAGTTCTTTTTCTTTTTTAAGAAATTCATTGTGCAATCTCTTTTCTTCCTTCTCCCTATAACCAATTCAAATATATAAAAGTCTCAAATGTTAAGTAATAAGTAAGTATATATCAATTAATTTCTAAAAAATTATATGAAAATTATTATATACTTAGAAACAATATTATTCAAATAGAATATATCACTATTTAGGAATATTAAAAAAATTATTTACTTGTCTCGTTCTAATTTTTCACTCTCTCTTTTTCGTTTCAATTCGATTTTTTTCTCTCTGCTCCTATTCAAATCTTCGATGCTAAAAGTTTTCTTTTTACTTTGTGGGGTTTTACACGTCTTGTCATCAGTTTTCATTTTTTTCGGTGAATCAGTGTTATATTCTGATTCACTTTCCATGATCATTATATCATCCATAGTTTATAAATAGAAAGAAAAAGGTATGTCTATGATATGCTTTAAATTCCAATCTGGCGGCATTTAAATGGATAGGCGTATATGCCTTGTCAACATTTAGACACTATGTTAAAAATTTATTAACGCTTCTGAGTGAAGTGTTTAGCTGTTTATCTTTTTTAGCTTTATAGTATACAAATTAAAGCATTTTTACTTTGTATTTAATTTTAAAAATTGTATCTTAAGTAGTAATGTGCAAACTAGTCAAGATTTGGCCTGGGAAAACGTAATATAATTGCGTTTTCGGCAAAATTTAAAAAAAACCATTTGTATATAAACATAAAAAATAATTCAATTTTTAGGAAAAATACTTTCGCACAATTGAGATGCAGCTGCCCGAAATTATTTTCTGAACATTGCATTAAAGTAAGACCTACATTGGGGGCAGTGTATCCAGGATCTTCTTATGGAAAGGGGGAGGGAATATTTTTGGGGGCTTTACTCCCAAACCCCCTTTACCTGGCCTTCGGCCGGGTTTTATGTTTTAGCTACTTTATTAAATTATTCATAATTAATAATAATTATATTTCTATTTTTAACTATTATTTACTAATTCGTGCTTATGGATATTACAAGCCTATTTTTTAATATTTTAAGTTAGGTATATTATATTTAATAAGGTTTTTTTAATGTAAAGTTGAAATAAAGTTTAATGTCATTTTTTTATAAAATTTGCTAAAAACTAGCCTCAGATTAAATTCTCATACAATATATATAATTTTTTTTATTGAAGATACTTTTAGTAGTGTGTATATTAATTTTCTTGGAAATATTGCCAATTCGAACCAAATCTCTGTGGATATTTTAGTAAATATGTTTTCAACCTTCTCAAGTTGGAATTCATTCGTACATGTTGTAATAGGCAAACATTAAAGAATATAAAACAACTTCAAAATATTAGGAAATTGAGCCAAAATTTATTTACGAACGCATCAATAGCATGCTCAGGTAAAATAGCTAAACGTAGTAAATATTTATCACAATTCAAATTCACTGATTAAATTTATTTCTATATCAATATCATAGGAATAAAATTTTGCTAAATATTATATTTTACCAATAGTGGCATTAGAAAACGAAGAAGGATCTTTGGGTAATAAAACTTGAAGATTGCTAAAGACTTGTTTTTTATATAAAAACCGTACTTTTATTAGCGATATAAAAGTATCTAAGAATGGGATGAAAATGGATATTTTATAATATTATTCAGTTGAGCCAATATTTATTTTATATCTCAATAATTGCCTAGGTCTAGGCGAAGTTTAATTAGTGTTATATCATAAAATTTAACCTTCGATTCAACGTCTAGATAAATATTATGAAAATATTCATCTACATTCATTCTTATTGTATCTACCTGTTCATATATTTTTTCCGCCAAATCTAAATTTGGTTTTTGTAAATTTATACAAAGTAATGAGCTATAGTAAAGTAATTTATTGATGCAACTAGCAGCAATGATAAACTCTGATTGATCAATTGAATTCAATAATTATATCGCTTCTGACGGCACATTACTCTTTTTTCTCAGCCTTATTTACCTTTTGTATTTCTATTTTTTCTGTTTTACAAAATGGAAGTAAAAATGAAAAATATTTAAAAAATATAGATATTTATTAATAATTAAAATATTATACTTAATAATTCTAACTCACTAATAATTTTAAATTTAATAAAATAATTATATATAATAATAAAATAAATTACCGTTTGATTTAAATCTCTTTGACTAAAAATTTTTCCATTTTATTAATATTTTGAATAATGTTAATGTACTCCAAGGAAAGGAAATTTTATTAAAATTTATTTATAAAAATAAGTTTTATGTTTGAAAATTGATATTCAAATATTTGATTTTGATTGGGGGTGGGGGGGGGGGGGGTACAATTTTTATTAGCTTAAAATGATATTTATGAAAACAGTAAAGTTTGCTATAGGGGGATTTCCCCCTTCCCCCCCCCCATTGGTTACGCGCCTAAGGGAGGAGAGGAGGGCGTGATTGATAATTTATTTCCAATATTAAAGATATTATTAAAATATCAAGAAGGACACTTTCAAAAGTCATTTATTAGTTTAAAGCAGAATAGTAAAGGGATAAATTTTGGTTCTGACAATCTACCCAATTCTCATAATAATAAAGAGAGCTAGCGACTTATCTAAACCAAATATATCTAAAGCTATTAATTTACATCCTCTATTTAAAAAACAACATTATAATATTTGCAACTTATGATTTTCTATATAATGTTGTTAAATAAGACCATTTTTAAAAATGGTCTATGCGTTTTCGATTATCTTAGAAAGATTTTTTATAATATAATATAAAAGATTCGTATATGTAATTGTTGGGATATTATATATGTAAATATGATTATATATATATTTACATGGTTAAAGTATTTTTGAGATAATTATTGTTTGTGGGAGATTAATAAATATTTTAATTTTTTTCTTGATACATTTTTCACAATTAATATTTTGTGGTTATTTTTTAATTTTATCTTAACTTATTACTTATATTTTTGTAATATTAATTTTATCGTTTACCGATAGAATATATGTGTTATCTGTAAAGGCGGTAATTTAAATATGAAAAAAAAGGTGGTATAATTTGAGAATTTCAAATAATTATATAATTATTATAATATATTTTGACCATGTATCTGCAAACGTCGGCCGTTGGCCGGCCGTCTACTTTTTTGGTTGCGCTACAAACGCCGCAATTAAATCACGCCGGTGTGCCACGATTTTCATATCGGCGGTGCACGGCTGGGGGAAAAATTTCTTTCATATTTTATACTTTTTTATTCTAAAAATTGGTAAACATCACTTTTGTAAATTTTTTAATGTTAATGAAGATTTTGATAAATTTGTTGCACATGTTTTAAAATCATAATTATATTGACGTCATTATAAAATTCAATCAATCAAAAATCTATATTCTAAAAGTTACCATAATTTTACATTTAGACCTGAAAAAGAGAACTGAGTTGGGCCTAACATTTTTTTAAATAATTTTGGGCGAGGTCTGGTCGGGCTTAAATTTTGATAACATTTTGTCAAATAAATGGATATATTTTAAAATTCTCACAAGAAACTGGCTCTAATATTTTTTTATTTATAAGAATATTTTTTTTTACAATCAAGAAAAATATTAAATTTTTCTAATTTAATATTTAAATAAATTCGACTGGCCTGTCTTGATGAAAATTACTACTTCTAATATCATATGTTATACAAGTTTTAAATAATATTAATAACAAATTTGAAACACTCGACAAATACTGCAGATAGAAATCCTGAAATCTCTATTTCCCAACTTCATAGGATTTTCCATCCTAAGCTTATAATTTTCAAATTTACATGTTAGAGGCTCAGCGTCTACGTGACAGGATTTTCACTGGATGCAAACCCCCTTCAAAAACCTTTGCCTACCCTTCTAAAAAATCCCCGCCGGCTTCGGCGGCGGTGTCTCTTTATCATTATTTTCGCCCATTTATTTATTGATACTCTTTTCAAAGAATTTATAAAGGATAACTTAAATTAATCTATCTCTACTACCAAGTATCGATATTTTGTGAATATAAAGAATTTATTTTTTAGATAATAAATTTAATTAAAACCTCCATTATTTACAATGGATTAATTATTATGGCATTATGAGCTTGCTAAAATATCTAAACCTTTTGAATTATATTTAAAAGGATAGTTTATTTGGAAAACAATGTGTATGATTGTTTGCAATATATAGATTTGGTCGATGAATTGTATTATAATAATACTATAATAAAAATATTAATTTTTACAGCAATAAATTTTGTCCTATTTCATCTCAAAATTTAATAGATAATCCCCCAAAAAAATTTATCCTACCCGCATTAAAGCAGCTTACCCCTACCTCCTCCAAAAAATAAGATGCAAACTGTTCCTACCCCTCCCGCTCATGTAGACGCTGCTGGGGCTGCATCTTAGAAATGATTTTTTTTTAAATAGTTTAAATTTTACTATTTTTTTCTTTCTATCTTTTAATCATTTATCAAAATTTGAGGTTTAACCTTATTTCCAGAATATTCTTGATATTCTATAAAAACAAATAAAAATTTTATATATTATATTTATTTTTACAAGATATTAAATAATTTTTAATTTATAGTAGACACTAATTTATTTTGTCATAACATGACTGATACGAAATTAATCGCCAGCGAAACACAGCTGATTTGTGAAAGTGACAATATTAAAGAGTTGTGGTGATTACATTATTTTGATAATTATAAATTATAACTTAGCTTGATTATCTAAATTGCACAGCAGAAATTTCGCATTACTTCTGAGAATCGCGCTTACTATAAATGCAACCAAGTTTAAAATATCATTTTGGAAAAATATCGATATTTTGAGCTTTTTCATATCAAAAAATATTATATCGTCTGCTAGTTATATAAATTCAATAATAATATCCATAATATTTTGGTAAAACGTTATATATAAATATATTAAAAAAATTACCCTGTATAAATTCTAATTATATATAATATTTGTTTATAATATGGACAACCTAACGAAATAATTAAATCGCGGCAGCCATTCACAAATATTCTATTAGGTATAATAGTGGTGACGATAAAGACTGATTTCGCTAGTAAATCGCACTAATTAAAAATGCAGCGTAGCACTCATTTTCATAAACACGAGAACTATCTAGTATGATGGCCTTAGCCTAAGATGTCAGAAAAAAAAGAAACAATTAGATTTAAATGATTTAAAAAATATTACCTATTATTACCAATAATAAATTTATAGATTCCTTTAAATGTGAAATAAACACGTGGTCCAAAAAAAATATTTGCAATGAATAGAATAAGAAGAAAAATAAAAATAAAAATGGCATTTTTTAACTGCCAGAATATTGATTCCTAATTATAGGAAATATATATCATCGCGCCATTATCTTAACACTCAGTCGTAAAAAAATGGTCGGCATTTTATTTAATA